AATAGACCCCACATGTGATTCTAATATAAAGCTAGCCTAATTTAAAACTAATTGATTAGATTACAAGAAATAAGTCAGCACAATCAACTGATTTTTTTTCACCCTTGCATAAGCTAGATTTTGACAACAATAACACTCAATTAAGCAATTAAGTATTCATAACTTTAAAACAACATTGTGATCATAGTATCGTTTTTTTCATAAATTCATCATGCAACATAATGATGTTTCCTGTTCTAATCACTTTTATTAGTAGCCAAATGAGCACTTGATCAAACGGCACGCAGTATGATGAGATGGAGCTTAAATTTAAAAAAGTATGGGTTCGATCTCGTATTGTATTAAAAAACGAAAACTGAAGTTTTATTATCTCAAGAATTACTGCCAAAAAGGGGGATGAACTGGGTATTTGAAATTTTCCGAAAACTGTCAATAACAAATGCTTAAGTATAGATGTAATCAATTAAGAAGAAAATAATAACAAAATCAAGAGCAATCTCATAATGTAAAAGGAACACTAACAAGTAATATGGTAAGCTACATAATGCATCACAAGTAAATAATAGAAAAAATAAATAAGGTTAGAGAGAGGACAAACACTATTTATAGTGGTTCGGTTATAAGCCTACATCTATTCTTATCGAGTAAATCACAATCCAGCCTCTTTTACTATCTTGATCTATTTTTGGTTCGATCATGTCAAGTACAAATTGGTGAATTTTTTTCCCCAGGTTCATCACACCTATTATAAACAGCAAGCTTTCGTTCATTTCACCGATTCGAGTTTAGAATTTGAGTTTTACTGCAGTAAAAAGCTCTCAGAAACAATCACATCTAACTTTTTTGCTACAGCAAAAAGCTTTCACATAAAATCACATCTAAACTTGAATTAAAAGCTCGAAAGCAGCAAATTAAACGGACCCTTATTGTATCAAATTTACAATGACATCGACAACCTAAAACTTTGTGAGATAATAAATATAAAAGTTTGATAATTTAAGAGAATCTTCCTCAATTTTACTTGGGTACAAGTAAGGCATTAGGAGATATTTTTAATGCTAAACAAGAATGGTATCAAGTTTAGCTCAAAGTATGTAATCATAGCTTCAATACGAGATAAATTAATGTAATTTGAGTTCAAAGATGTTTTGATAAAATTTGGAGCTTTTCAAAATATTCCACAACCATTCTAGACATGAAAAGCCCTTTGAGTACCAAAAAAGTCGAAAAAGTGCTTTGAGTTTGCGGCTAACGGCTAGTTTCAACTAGTCGTTCAAAAAGCACATCCAAAAGATGAATTCGTAACCAACAAGTTTGTATTTTAAGACTTCTTAAAAAATTGTTTTTAATGCAATTTCAGAACAAAAGGCCTGCTTTTAACTTATAAAATATTGCATAATTTTCATAATTTTTAAAAATCAAGAAGATAAAAAAATATCGCTCGTAAAGATTTCAAAAATAGTTTTTGGTGAGCCAAAATAATAGGACAATTTTTGCTATGTGCTCAAACATCAAATACAATGCTAAAATTGTAGAAATAAACATATATAAGCAAGTCATGTACATTATTTCTTCAAACTTTAAAATCTCGCTTCAAACATCAATTTTCCATTTGCCAAGCTTTGAATTTGAAGGCACTTTTGGACATTTTTCGATTTATCTTGCGTTATCTATAATCTTAAACAATTTATACGTAAAACAAACTCAAAAAAATGTGAATAAAAAATTAATCAATTTATTTAGTATTACCGAAATCATTATTATTCAATTTATTAAAACCTTTGAGCCAACAAAAAGAAAGAAGAAAAATGAGGTCGACCAAGCATTAATCCAAACTGGTTACAACTGATTTTAAGAACTCTGGAGGATACTTTCAAACATTCAATTTGTATTAGGGATATTGATCAATTCATGAGTCGTTAGATGTTTAATCTGTTTACTTGAGGTTGATCTAGCGTATGAGCTATAAAGTAAAGTGTCGAAAATAAAGAGAGAGATTAGAATTTATAATGGTTCTCCCGTAATGAGAAGGCAACGTCAATTTAGTGTTTGGTTTTTCACTATGCATAAAGAGAAAATAATATAAAAGAGCTTCATAAAACTTGAGAGAGACAATAATAGAGGACAAAGAGAGACTAGGGTAACTTAAGGATGTCTTGGGGAGATAATAAGCATGTTTCATGTCCTTTTTGTTGAGTAAAGACTTCCTTTTTATAGCTGCAAACTCTAGTTGACGCCTTAGAGTTAGTTTTCCTATTCTAAACAAAATAAACTTTTCTTATAGAATTCGCATTCTCCGAGATATGGACTGCCTTTAGTGTGATTTGGTACCTTCCCAAAATCTCAAAATGGAAGATTCTTTGAAAGATATTTGGAATATTTTTTGGACTAGTAGACTTTAGATGCTGCAATCGTTCTAGACTGATCTTAGGTTTGTGTTGTCTTCTAATTGTGTTGGACTGTTAAATCTTTCTAGAAGGTCTTCTTGACTGATGATCTTTAAGTTTAATCAACTCAAGTTGACACGTGTATGATTGACAAACAAAATCTGACCCCAATTGAAACCAGAAACTCACATACCAAACTAATTATTCGTAGAATTATAAAAAATCAGTTGCCAAAATTAAAAGAAAAAATGGAAAGGTTATATAAAGAAGAAGCCACAAACGTACAGCTCTTCAAGAAATAATTAGTGCTTGAAATCATTATACCATCAACATATACAAAACCAATTTGTTCTACCGTAAACATTTCTTTGAAAATATCCATCAACAGAAAGTGGAAGCCAATTAGCTGACCAAACACTATCAGGAACAATTACAGACCAAATTCATTCACTAGAGTATAGGAAAGAAGATACTAAAATATGTGAGAGAAATTGATAAGTTTTCATTATTTTTGGAAACAAAAATACAGTATACATAACAAGTTTTCATTCTTTAGGTTTTCATTAAAGTCGTCATCTGCTACTCAAAATATGTGAAAAAAATATTTATATTTGATTATTACACAATCAAATAAAGGACAAAATTCCGTAATAGGATAAACAAAGCTTAGTGCAAATCATGGATAAGATGGAATCAGAATGCTAGTGAAGAGTTTCTTTTGAAAACTAAAAGGCTTTAACAGTTATTCACTAGAGAGAATCCTTTTTTGTCACTAGATGTTTGATGTTACAAGATTTTGAGGGTAAAACCGTTATTTAATGAACATTTTAGTGGTAAAAGTTTTTTTATTTTTATTTTACAGTTTTATGGGACTTGTAGGCATTTGAAAATTTTATCAATTAAGGGGACGTTATTCTAATTAACTTAAATGTACATAGATTTCACAAAATATTAACATTTTTTAGGGATAAATTTGCTTAGGGCAAAAAATAACAAAAATGAGGGAATGCAATTATCTATATGGGATATTATTTTTAATTTCTTTCTGCATGTACCTACATGTTTTTATTTTATTTTTATTTTTTTTGACAAAATGTAATATATTTTGTTTATAACAGAATGTTACCTTGTAACACTTATAATGCTTTTCTATTCACTCCTAATTTTTCATAACAAAACATTATTAGGACAAGAAAAAAAAGGTAATTACAACCCAATAAGAACAAAATATTATTTAAAAACAAAAAAACAACTTAACAAAATAAAAAAGGAATAAATAAAACTCAAATAAAAATAAAATATATAGGTATAAAAAAATATTCTTTCACTCTCAAAAAGCGACCTCAAAATAGTTGGATGACATACTGTATTATTACAAAGTATTATTTTTTATATTATTAGAGCGAAGTGTTAAACAGGCTAAAGTCACTTATTTCATCACTCTCTTTGTCACTCTTATCTTCTCCTCTTACCGCATGTCATTCCATTTTCCAATGAAAATGAAACCTAGCTATTACCCATTGTATAACATTTTATTACACTTTAGTAGTATAATATTATTATGTTATTTCTATAAAAAAAAAAGAATATATATTGCTCACTTTCTCTTTATCACTTTATGAATGTGTTTTCTTTTTCGCAGAACCTAGAAAAATGTTATTAATTTTGTTTCCAACGATCAAATCGTTTCGCAATATATCAACAACTTGCAACATTCAAACCGCTTTATACTATTTTCCAATTAACGTTATTTATTTCTTCTTTTCTTTTTGTTAGAATCGTTATATATATAAATATATATATCATGAGCTAGAAGATAGAAGGCGATGAAACAAGTGTTTTTATCATTTCTCGTAATCAAAATATGGAGGTACTAATATATATAATAATGTAAAAAATTACAGAATATCATGAGCTATAATAATTACTCATAATATAATTCAGGCACCACCTATGGCACCAACAACATTTGAAGTGTGATCAACGTTTTGCTTTCTGAGCATTTTTAATCCTTTTTGAGCGTGATTCAGCTTGGCCATTCAATAATCAATAGATGATCACCGCATAAAGAAATGAAAAAAAAAAAAAAAAAAGAAGAAAAGCTAGCTAACAAATTAGAGGTCATAATCAAATCATAATCATGTCATCCAAATCGATTTAATTAAGTTCCGTTGTTAGTAAACTTTTTGTCGTTTATATATATATGTTTGTATATGATTTTTTTTTTTGAAAGGAATATGTTTATATATTTTTTTATAATCAATAAATCCTCTCGTTTATTTTAATATTCTTTTAGAGGATCTTTTGGACCCTGTTCATGTTCTTGATTCGAGTTTAAAATTTAAATTTTGCTACAGTAAAAAAACTCTCATAAACAGTTACATTTAACTTTTTTATTACAGTAAAAAAGTTTTACTTAAAATCACATCTCAATTTGAATTAAAAACTCAAATCAGCGAACTAAACGCAAGTTTTTTATTAAGTTCCGTGTAGTAGTGTCGGGATCTACATCCTTTATTTTTTGGAGAAAAAAAAAAAACAATGGAATAATTTCTTAGCTATAAATTAGGGAGGCAATTATTAACCCTCCACTCGCATTTCAAGAAAAAAAAAATGAAGTACTTTGCACGCTCCTCAGCTTTTCATAATAAAATTGTCATCTTTCTTTCTGTTTTATTCGCAGCTTCAGCTCATCCCACTCATAAAGACTTTCTTCTGTGCCTTCGTGCGTCGAACTCTACAATATTCACTCCTAAATCTGTAATCTACACTCCAAATGATTCGTTGTATGCCATAATATTGAAATCATCCATACAAAACCCTCGTTTTTCTTCTCCTTCGACTCCGAAACCATTCGTTATCATCACACCATTTCATGTCTCCCACGTACAGGCCACCATTCGTTGCTCCAAGAAACATGGCGTGCAAGTAAGGACCCGAAGTGGCGGCCATGATTTTGAGGGCCTTTCTTATCTGTCAAATGTCCCGTTTGTTATGATTGACTTGAGAAATTTAAGTTCGATTAACGTAGATGTGGAGAGCCAAACTGCTTGGGTTCAAGCTGGAGCTAATCTCGGTGAACTTTATTATAGGATTGCCGAGAAAAGTGGAAACCTTGGTTTTCCTGCCGGTGTTTGCAACACCGTGGGTGTTGGCGGACACTTTAGTGGCGGAGGCCACGGTTATCTGTCACGGAAATATGGCCTCGCGGCTGATAATATTGTCGATGCACAATTAATCGACCCTCAGGCAAGACTTCTTGATCGGAAATCAATGGGTGAAGATTTGTTCTGGGCCATACGTGGTGGTGGAGCGGCAAGCTTTGGGATCGTTCTTGCCTGGAAAGTTCAATTAGTTCTTGTTCCACCCACAGTCACGGTGTTTAATGTCAACCGGAACTTAGAACACGATGAAACAAAGAAGCTTGTTCATCGTTGGCAACATGTTGCTAACAAAGTCGACGACGAGCTAACAATCTTCCTCGTTCTACGAACTAAGAGTCCTGTCGATAAGAAAGGGAGTAAAAAAAGTGTACTAGAAGCTTCCTTCCAGGCCACGTTTCATGGCGGCGTGGATAGGCTCCTTCAATTGATGCAAAAGCAGTTTCCTGAGCTGGGTTTGCTAAGACAAGAGTGTACCAAAATGAGATGGGTCGAGTCCTTTCTCTATTTCAATGGATTCACAAATGGAGAATCTTTAGATGTTCTACTAGATAGGACACCTAGTTCAAAATTGTTGTCTTTTAAAGCGAAATCTGACTATGTGCAAGAGCCTATTCCATGTGATGTATTAGAAAGAATGCTAGGAAAGTTGTATGAAGAAGAGGTAGGAAGAGGTTGGGTTGAACTGTTTCCTTATGGAGGGAAAATGAACGAGATTTCAGAATCTGCAATCCCATTCCCTCACCGATCTGGGAATCTCTACAAAATTTTGTACTATGCGGAATGGGAAGAAGAAGGAAATATTACAACGTCCAAAAAGCATGTAAGTTGGGTAAGAAGGCTTTACGACTATATGACTCCTTATGTGTCAAAAAATCCAAGGGCTACATATCTCAACTATAAGGACCTTGACCTCGGGATAAATAACAATGAGTGCCCCACCACGAGTACCTATGAGAATGCACATGCAAGGATTTGGGGTCCTATGTATTTTAAGGATAATTTCAAGAGGTTGATTCATGTGAAGAGTATAGTTGATCCAACTAATTTCTTCGTAAATGAACAAAGCATCCCACCTCTTCTTACCCCAAGTGATTAAAATGGCAATTAAGGATCCTGCTGTGCTAAATTAAACCAATAGCTTTCCTTATTGTGTCCCTTTAAATAAAGGTTCATTGTATTGTCATATGTAAGTTATTTTAAATGCAAATAAAACTCTATTGGTTTTGCTTTACTAAACTCTCCCCGACAAGATATTGATTTAAGATCTCTATTGGTGTCTTATTTTATTGTTGTTTTAAGCGTCTAGTTGCTCCAATAACATATACACATTTAAAATAATGCTTTCATGAGCTCCAATAATGTGGTCCGTATAATCGCATTTCTTTTTTTGCTTTGCCAGGGTAGTTGCTTAGAAACTTCCTGAGCCTGAGCTGCTTTATGGCCCTACAAAGAAACTGAAAATCATTCACCATGTGCTTTGTGCTCTGTGCTCTGTGCCAAGAACTTGCTGCTTCCAGCATCGCAACAGGGTCCCTGGTCCATTCACCATGCGTGAAAAGATTCCTATCTTTCCATACAAACCAAATAACCACACAAAAAATCTCAAAATCTTCTCGCTTCAAGCAACTAAAAAGCTCTAGATTGCACCAAATACTGACGGAAAACGCTTAGTTCCCAAATCCGTGTGCAATAAATAAGAGCACGTAGTGTGGAATTTTCCCATCAAGACACTGACGCCATCCTTTAAAAGACGTTGATCCCTCGGTGTGCAAGATTTTTCCAAGAAGGGATAATGTTGTGGAACACCCTCCAAACAAAAGCCTTCACAGTAACCACTGCACCGGCGCAACAAACACGAGGCCCTGTAGAATGACGGCCTCATCCTTTGTGGACAACCTTTGAACCCTCATTGCTAGTAGGGCTGACAATCCGGGTAACGACACGACTTGAAATCCGCACGAAGTTAGTGGGTTTAAGTTTATCATAAACAAGTTTGGATCAAAATCAGGTCGAACTCGCGAAACACGATTAAATAGCGTATCGTTTTCAGGTTGACCCGCCGTAACCCGTTTATTAAATGTGTCATATTTAGGTAACATGAATACACAACACAATTACAACTCATTTGTTACTTATGTTGAGAAACGGGTTGAAAAATAAGTTGAGAAATAAGTTGACACGACCTTATTGTCATTCATTTTATAAACGTATCGTGTCATGTCAACCCCCTAAATTATATAGGTCGTGTTCGAATTTTATATTTCGACACGATTAATAAATGGGTCGCCTTCGTATCAAGTCTTACTGTGCCAACTGAACGGGTCAATACGACACGACAACACGAATTGCCACCCCTCTAACCTAGTTGAGGCGCTTCCTCACGATATCGATTTGAACGGAAAACTTGAGACCAACGTCGACCTTGTCAATGAAAGAATAGCCGTCTAAAGATTCCAGTATGTAGGAACTACAAATCTTATTGATTGGAGAGAGCATGGACAGCCTGATATACTTTCTTGAAGATTTTATAATGCAAACGAAAAAAAAAAAATCATGAAATTGAACCAAGAAGCTTTTAAGCAACAGAACAAATGATTATTATATTTTTCTCTCACTAAATATATTTTTTATTTGACTTGTGTTTCTTGTTGGCAATAAATGATTTATAAAGAGAATTGAAAAGAGGAGAACGCCTCCTTCGTTCACTTTTTCAACGCCAAAGCTTAGGAGTTTTATAGCTTTGATGGTTTTAATACGGAGTTTGTGATGATGGTGACATTGGGTTACATTCATCGTCGCCGCAGTGTTGCAGCCGTAGGTGCTTTTTAATATGGATTTCTTTGAATTAAAATGAGGCTTTTATTTTCAAGAGAGAAACAAAAGTTTAAACATTAAGACACCGTTCACTTTATCGATTCGAGTTTAAAATTCGAGTTTTGCTACAGTAAAATTCTCAAAAAGTCACATCTAACTTTTGACTATAATAAAAAGCTCTCACATAAAATCACATCTTAACTCGAATCAGTGAACTAAACAAAAATTTTTCATTGGAATGAAGAAACAGGAGGAAATTTAGCACATGGCAACACAGTTTTCGTGGACTTCTACATGAATTCTACATGGATCGTGGTTCCCACGATCTTGCTAAATAGCACAAGTTGTTCCAAATAGAGCCGAAAAGTGAAAGGTGAGGAGAGACGGGATTAGTTGAAAGCTTTTGAAATCTATGATTGTTTGGTAGGAGAAGAAAAAAAGAGGAAATAAATTGAATGAGTGATTTTTTTTTTTTAAATAAGAGAAACTCCTTTTATTGATAAAATTATCATTACGAGGAAAAAGGATATGATATCCTCAAGAAGCGAAACAAAGTGTGAGTGCGTGTTTAGAACCATCTTTAAAAAACAATTTTCGCGTATTTTGATAAACATAAAATGAAAAAAAAACAAAACGACATTTATTTAACAAATATTTTAAAAACGAAAATAAAAATTTTTATAAAAAAATTAAAAAACAGTTAAAAGTTATTTTTATTATTTAATATCTATCAATAATATTATAATATATTAATTAATAAACACGATTTCACTCTTTTATTATATTCAAAATAATCTCCTAAACAATCAACCAAACGTAATTTTAGAATCGGTCCTATAATGATTCTCAAAACAATATCATTTTTACTTTTTATGAAAACAAAATTATTTTAAAACTAATTTCAAACGCACTCAAAAACTCAGAAAAGAAACAAAGAACCAAATTTTAAATCCTCCAAAGAAACAAAACAAAGGATGAGATATAATCAAAGGTGAGTGATTTAAATCCTTCAGAGAACCAAAATTTTAATTTCTTATGGAACGTTTGGTTGGATGATTCATACCATGATTTGAATCATAGTTCATGGTTCGTTACAGTGTTTTCTCTCACAAAAAATATACGTAAATCGAAAATGATTATAATTCATAAACCAAACGTCTCCTTAATATGATTATAATTCATACCAAGCGCTACACGAGAATGACCCTCTTTTTTTTTTCTCTCTAAAGTTATATATATTTCTTGCCTTCTAATTTTCTTTCCCGCTCGAGAAAAAGCTGAAATGACAAACTATAATTTAGTAAACAAAAAGCTAATATATATATATATAATACACACACACATATATAATATATCAAAATCCATCATCTAGTTTCACCCTGCAAAGCAAAAACACATAAGCATAAAAGTCAACACTAACATAAAAGAAGCATATTATGAGTTCAAGACATCTATACGAAGAAATAATGAGGAAAGTATAATACTGCTCTTTGAGCAAGAAGAATGGGAGGTTGGAGATACAGAAAACGGTCAAGAGGATGCTATAAAATCTTCAGAGGCAGTAAATAAGGATCTGATGTCTATTTGTTTCTGATAGAAGAAGATATTTTCAATTACCTCAATTTTGTTTCTACCCAGAAAATTATGTGTGAAAGAATAAAGCAAAATATTTTTTCGTTTGGATGATATTCGAAAATGAGTAAATATGAAGAAAAGCACCCTAAAAAAGAACCAACAGTGGAAAAATAATTACGGGTTCAATTTTAACTTGGTTCTCCATACTTCTCCAATAACCTTCTTGGGACTGGGATTATCGGGTCCCTTGTCTCGCTGGCCAGAAGTAAAATACAACCATCCGTCCCAAAACCCGACTAGCGTGGTTTTTACACGGAATGGAAGCTTTCCGATTACTGACCATTCCTGCAAAAATAAACCATTATAGTAAGTCGTAAGCAAAATAAGAAATTGGCATCCTCATTAAAAGAAAAAAAGAAGGGCATCTGAGCACGACGTCGAATTCTCATGTAACGTATAAGGAAACTTAAAATCTAAGAAACCAAGGACAGTAGTGATGGTATGAAAGAAAAAGTCCCTGGAAGTTCTTACGCTCCTTCAGAAATGTAAAAATTAAATGACTTCCGTCTTTCATACATAATGAAGATAAAAGAAGCACGGTTGATCGTACTATATTGCATGCTAAACTGTGCTCTTAGTGTGTTTGTCAATTAGACAATTACATGAGAAACATGACAAGTTTCTCAAGCACCATAAAAATGAGAGTATTGAATAAGCTAGAACATTGCATTTCACTTTAAATAAAGATCAAAGTTTAAAGGAAGAGGATAACAAACTTGTCAATTATCCTAGCATATTTTTAGCCAAGTGTTTGCGTGCTAAACAGAAGTGCTAACGTACGGGTACATATTACATACAGATTAATCGTATAGAGTCTGAGGAAAATACCAGTTTATTCAAGTTAAACTGAAAGATCTCTCCAACCAAAACCATCTTTTTGGTCACCGGGTGCTTCTCGGTTGTGCCTCCAACAAGGACGATAGAATTGTTGACAATCACCCAAGCAAATTCGATATGGGAATCTGGCTTTGGCATTGGAGGGAGCACTTTCCATTTCATCTCATCATCGAGCATATAAACATCACTATACACAATCTCAAACCAAAAAACAAAGAAAAAAAATTATGCAAAGAGAAAACTTTTAGGCCCATTTGGTAGTGTCTTCAAAATGGTTTTGTTTTGAGTGTGAAAATGGAATAATTAAGTATTTTTTAGAAATGGTGCTGGGACTATTTTTGAAATTGCCTTTGGTTATTTTTCTTAGAGATTGTTGGGTATAAAAAAATTAAAATTGTATTTGGGTATGTTTCTGAAAACTTTTATTAAGTTATAGTCCTAGAAAATGAAAATAAAAATGTGAAAACAACTTTCAACCATTTTATATTTCCTTAGCAAATACCATTCTTACTATTTTTTGTTTCGGTTTTCGTTTTCAAAGTATTTACTTATTAAACATTGTTTAGAGACTGTTTTTGTTTCGTGCCTCAAAAGATATGTAGAAACATTTACAAAAACAAATGAAAACAATACCAACAGCACCTTTGTTTCTTTTTCTGTTGAAGAGAACTGTTCTCTTTTGTTTTGTTTTGTTTTTTTTTTTTTTTTTTGAAAAGAAACTGAGACTTTTATTGAAAGAGAAAAAAAAATAAAATATAGAGGGGGTGATTGGAAGAGGATTCCGCAGCAAAAAGATTGCTTTGTTCTCTGGGATAAAGTAAAGTATTGGGTCTCGTTGGGGGTTTACAGAGATAAAAATTTGGCAGCTTGATTTCCTCAGACTTTGTTAGGAGCTGGGCACTATTCCTATAGACATTACTATTTGAAGTTCCTGATTGTTTCTTCTTTTTGATTGTTTTGTTTTGTTGGGTCTGCTGAAGAGAACTCTAAAGCCTCTAAAAAGATAATTGAATGGTCTTCTCTGCTTTTCTACTTTTATTTTCATTTTTCATATGGACACTAGAATTTTATTTACAAGAACAAATAAAAGAAAAGGAAATCTATTACTTGAAAACAACTTTTACTAGGACTCCCTCTTGCCTTTGTCTTGGTTGATCAATATCTTGATGAACCTAACCTCTCTTACTCCTTGTAATTTTATTTTTCAATACGACTGATCCTCTCATAACACCTATTAAAAATAAAGACATGCAGGAACCTAAAACGTACCCTAATACACATAAATATCGATAGAATATCAAATAAGTCATGAGAGAGTCTGTCATGTGTTCCAAAAACTACATTAAATCTTTTCCACCTTAAGCAGAATATAAATGTGTGTCGGCCGTGTGTATATGTGTAGGAAATAAAATAAGCTGGAAAATACCTGCCTTCAGGTAATTTATCTGAGTCAGCATAAATAATAACCAGAAGAAAGTTAAACAATCCACTACTCAAGGTTAGATTTATAATAGTAACAATCAGTCCAGAATTTACAAGATTAAGGAGAAGGAGTACTCAAACTGCCTACCTCGTTCCTGCGTGAACACTTGAAAATAGGTGAACCAGGTTTTGCCATAAAGTCACCTTCTTGACCACCAATCGCATAAAGACGATCATCAACCACAACACAAGCTCTACAACAAAAAGACAACGTGAATCACATGCATGCGGAGGATTGTCTTTTTTTTTTTTTTTTTCCTTTAGTGAACTATTTATGTGAAAAGTTAAATAAGAAAAATGCTTCCTTAAAAAAAAAATGTAAATTGGAAAAATATTGTTCATTAGTCAAGTTCTTAAATAAATAAATAACAATCCAAATATGTACAAAAATAAATTAACTGTGCACTTTCATATGTTGTTAAAATTTAAATTCATTATCAACTGCTAAATAGCCGTTTCCAAAGGAAATGCAACTTTAGATTCCCAGATTCACTATTTGTTTTTGGAAAAATGATTCACATTCAGACAAACCTATGAGGTCCTCCACGAGGAATAGGTATTTCATTTCTCCATTCCTTGTCTAATGCTTTTCCATCCTTCACAGCAAGACTCCAATGCTCTATTGCAGGAGTATGACGGTTCTCCTTGCTACCTCCCATCACATGGAGTCTACCCCTCCACAGTTGAGTTGCAGGTGCATACCTGACAGATACAAATCCCTTCAATTAAAGGTTTAACCTCGGTAGAGGAACCTCTAATCAGCTATTTCAAACTAAATATTTACAGCCACTAGTTAACTTTCAACATTAACATATTAAACAGAACACGTCATAGATACAAAGAGTGCTGAAAGTTTTCTATGGATTCTAGTTAAATCGTTAGTTGATGTTCGGCCAATTCAAGAAGAGCATAGATAATTTTTATTTTTACGTATCAGAATTTTCAAAACCAGGCTTCACTAAATAATGTATTACCGAATGGATCTCACACAATGAATTCCAAACTATAGTGCACACTGTCATTCATCGATGTACATTCCTTTCTCTACAATAGTATTGTACAAAGGCATACTTTTTTAGGTTTAGTTGCACATTTTCTTTTAAAGCTATCGACCTTCCTAAACCAATGTAAGCCCTAGACCTTTTCACTTCGTGAACAAAAATTCAGCTACAATAAAAATATGCCCAAAGATTGTCGTGATAATGCAAAATCTTGATAAAACACACACCTAGGAATCGGTAAAGGGGGCAAGTCACTCCACTTCTTTGTCTTTGTATCAAGCACAAATGTATGAGCTGTAGGTCCTCTGCACTGTGGCCCATATTGTCCTGTTACCACATAAATGTACCTCCCATCTGTTACCATCCCTAGATGTGAATGTGCCATTTCTTTAGGCATTTCAAATCTTCCTCGCCATGTGTTGTCAGTGAAATTATATATATCAACATGAGAATGCACCTGTTCAATATCAACAAAAGAACGAATACAAAATATATTTATATATATATATTAGTACATTTTTTTCAATAGAATGAGCAGAACAAGGAAGTACCTAAATGCTATTCTAACCTAACACTCACAACAACTACAGTTTAGCACTTATCAATTATTTCATATTTAGCTAGCATAAAACACCCATGCATCTAAGAAATAACATGCTGTAAAGCATTACTAGGTGCATGTAGTTTGACTTTAATTTTTGAATTTTAAATGCATGCGCATGCACACATATAGGAAATACATATACAATATATATTGATCATATTAGACTAGAACAATCAGCACATGGTTGCATGGAAGTGTTTGACAGTAAATATGATATCTAGAGCAACAGAATAGATCACAATAAAAGCAGCCAGCCAACTGTTGTTATAACACAGGAAAGGAAAATCTTTAAGAAAAATTGTAAAGGTAACACATTATTAAAAAAAAAAGACAAGACAATTCTATAGAGATAACTGAAATTGTAAGAGTACGAGATAAGTTAAACAGTCAGAGAGTAGGACAAGATTCTCACAAGATCGATAGTGCCATATCCAGCAAACACATACAGAAGATCTTTTATCTGAATTGCAGCCCCATCGAGACGAGGCACGGGGGCTGGAGCCATCTTTTCCCATTTTAACTTGGGTGCAGGCAGATCCGCAAAAGTTGCTGACAGAATTCTCCCAGAAAGAGTCTCATTCTTATGACTCTGAGTTTTTCCCTGAACGCAAGAGTGAATTGGTTTCGAGCTATCAGATACAAAATACAGGGTAAACCATAAATTTCTTTGCCAGCATCTTCCACTAAAAAGAAATACCAATAGAAGCCCATGAAACTATAAATATATAGGCTTCTAAAAATTTAAAAACTGAATTCAAACAACCAGTCTAAAGCAATTAAGCTCCAAGCACAGCACCATTTATTTTCTCACAAGTGGAGCCAACAAGAATCTATGTTCTAAGAAAGCAGATTCGATTTTTTTTTTTTTTTGTCTTAATTATGTGATCCGATAGGATCAAGAGAAACAGCTCCACTTCCATTAGGCTTAAGTAACCTCAAGACGAAGAAACCAAAAGGCATAGATAGTTAAGTAGTTCATGAAAAAAATAAAATTTAGGAAATGACCACATAAACTAATAATGTACATCTTCAAATTATGCTAAACGTACTCGGTTCCCAAACAAAACCCCAATTAACCCAAAATAAAAAAATCAATCAATTAACAAAAGCGATTTTCTCAAAAACCAAACAAGACCCAGTTGAGAATTCACAGCCAACAACCCAAAATGGAAAAATAAATAAATAAATAACTAAAATTAAGAACGAGAGTGAGAGTGGAAAAATAAGAATCATACTTGTGTGGGTATACGAGGGTCGGGAAATAGCAAGGTGGGTTGGCGTTTATCCTCGTGAGGGGCCCACGAGGAGAAATGAGGAGAAGAAGCCCAGAAGAAGTCGGCGAGGAGGGCAATCCCCAAAAGGGCAATGCATATCAGTAGTAACCTCGCAGTTGCCGATGCGTGCTTTGCAGATGCCCTAACCATTTCGATCTCATATCATATCATATCGGATCACACCTCTCTGTTTTTGTTTAGAATTGCAGTGTTTATGTTCGCAACTCAGAGAGAGAGAGAGATAGAGATATGGACAAGGCACCGACTTTATAGTCTTAATTCTCCGGCGATTAATTTTATTTGTGAAAAATTTTATCAATTTCTCTAAACTTAGGCTTGTTCACTTTGCGGATTCAAATTTTTAATTTGAGTTAAGATGTGATATTTTTTAGAGCTTTTCACTGTAACATAAAAAGTTAGATGTGATATTTTTTATAATTTTTAACTGTAAAAACTTAAAATTAAAAACTCAAATCAGTAAAATAAACGAAACTTTAATTACTTATGTCAACATACGACTTCAATTTTAAAATTTATCGTGCCCCTAACCTATAAAATATCTCAAATTTTTTTCTTTTTATCTCGATTCTATTAATTTTTTAAATAAAAATATTAATATGACTATTAAATTATTAATTAAATATAATATTTAGAGTTTATTTAATGTATTTCTCTTTAAAAATATTAATTAGATATTAATTTTCAAAATATTAATTGGTTAGAGACAACAAAAAAAGGGGAAAAAAAAAACATTACGATAATGGGTTTGTTAATGTTTTGTTTTCTTTTTCTTTTTCGTTGCAATGGGTTTATGAATTAATAGATTTCTTAATGTAGAAAATAGATTTTTCTTTGAATTTTGTATTCAATGTTTCTTTTATTTTTTTTATGGTGAAGAGTTTTTCAAGTTTTGCTAAGGCAATGGTTTCTTAAGATTTCTGTTGAATTCTTTTACAAATTAAAAAAAAAACACAATGACATGAACTTATATAGATTTAGAAATGTTGTGTATATGTAAAGTATAAATATATTTTATGTTGAGCACTTCTATTTTACTAATTAAGTTAAAGAAAAAAAAAACTAACAAAACCAATTTGATCCTCTTTTTTATCTCTTTATTGCCTCTAACCGATGAATGTTCTGAAAGTTATGTACCTAATAATATTTTTAAGGGAATGGCATTCAATAAACCCAAATATCATACATAATCAATAATTTAGTGGTCATATTAATATTTCTATTCAAAAAGTTGATAAAATAAAGATTGAAGAGGATAATTTGGAGATATGTCATAGTTCGAGAGCACAACAGGTACATTTAAAAATTCAGGAGGCATGTTAATACAAGTGAGAAAGTTCAAGGAAAATTTATAAGTATATCCATTCAAAATAGAATCAGACGAGAGGGGGAAAGTTAAAGACATGTTATAGTTCATGAGGCACAATATGCACATTTTAAAATTCAAATGACAAGTTAACACGAGTGATAAAGTTAGAAAGAATTCATAAAATTTGTCCTTTTTACTTATTTCCCCTTGGAGGTCTAGCTACTTCACGTTTCTTTAATACTAGTTAATACAGCGTGTGAGTTCAGTGTGTTATATTTTCTAGACTTATGAATCTAAAATTTATTTTAAAATTTAATTTACTTTTTTGACTTATTTTTAGTTAAACTACACGTGCTATGCACATTGGAAATAATCTACGTTGTTATTATTTTTTAATTTATTTAATAATAAAAATTTTAGTTAGTTAGTTAGCAAATAAACAATTAACAAAAATAACTTAATAAGTGTCGCCTTTCAAATAATAAGGATTACACATTTGAAAAAATATATATTTCATATATACTCGTCAACGTTAGTGCTCACATTCATCTGCTGAATGACATAAAAAATGGGGCATTTTGTTCGGGTAAATAATTAAATTCATTTAGAAGGAATACAAGACAAGATTTTTCTAGCCAACAAAAAAGCAGACACTTGAGTTCATTTTTTCCACGGGCAAAATATGATATTGCAGGAGAGTGTTAGACCCAAACGTTCGTTGTTCAGATCTAAAAAAAACCAGCACTGAAACTTGCAGCAGTATAAAATTGACCAAAAATATCCTTTGATCTTCTTTATACATCCAAAATAAGTATATATTTCCCGACTGTTTTCCATATGATGATCAAATACAAAGTACTTCTAAAATATGGCATGGACAACTATGAACAAAATTGCTGACAATAATGAAGAAATCAAGCACAAATATACCAGCCACCAAAAACACTCCTAAAGTCCCCATCAACAACGATCTAATGGTGGTTCATCAGAACCAGAATTGGGCCAATCCAGAAACTTGCACCCCTCGAGAGAGGATGGGAGGTAGCTTTGAAAGGCGGTGGGATTGTTCGGAGTATAAATGTAGTCCTTCCCATACCCTATCTCCTTCATCAACTTGGTAGGCGCATTCCTCAAATGCAGAGGCACTCCCTCGTTTTGCCCATCGGATTCTTTCACTGCCTTCTGTGCAGCCCCGATGGCCCGGTAAATGGCGATGGATTTTGGAGCCAATGCCAAGTAAGCCACGCATTGTGCAAGAATCACATTGCACTCAGGCATTCCCAAGAAGTGACAAGCTTGGTAGCATGCCACAGCCTGATTCAGAGCCAACGGATCAGCCAACCCAACATCCTCACTAGCAAACCTTATAATAATAGAACCAAAGAAATTGGAGAAAATTAAGATAAGCTAAACTAAAATAAAGAGACTACAAGAGTTACTGGGTATTTTTGTCAAAATAGTTATTATTCATTTGATTTCAATAACTCACTGAACATGAGAATCAATGTTTCGATGTTAATTTCAATGTTAAATATAATATCAAAATTAGAATAAATCATTCATGAATGAACAAAAACCTCGGGACTTATTAAAAATGGAAAAGCCAAACTATAATAATATTTAAAAAAAAAAAAGGGGGGGAAAAGAATAAAAGTGTAAATTACCTTTCCCCTAATATTTATCTTAAATGACCCTTCTCCATATACTAATTACTTGGGGGGTTTTTTTTTTTTTAAATCACGATTTCAATGTTAAACCAACATAAAAAATAGGAGCAAACCATTTCACTATATTTATATTCATATTCAAACTCATTCCATCAAACCAAACGATAATTAAGAGATTACGAAAAACTTTAGTTTTTTTTTTCCTCAATGAGATTAAGAGTACTAATTATTATCATCATCATCATATCTAATACCTTATGAGTCTGCGAGCAATATAGAGAGGCTGTTCCCCTCCTTCGAGCATCCTGGCGAGCCAATAGATTCCGGCATTGGCATCGCTTCCTCTCATGGACTTATGCAGCGCGCTGATGAGATTGTAATGCTCTTCTCCATCTCTATCATACGCCAGATGCTTACACTGCAACGCCTCCTTCGCATCCTCCAACGCCACGACAACAACATCTGCCGCGTCTCGTCGGGCAGCAGATGCGGCAGCGGCAACAGAAGCGATCTCCAAGGCATTGAGCGCCACCCGCGCGTCGCCGTCGCAATTTTCAGAAATGAAGCGGACGGCGTCGTCATCGACACTGACGGGCGAGCCCACGCTTATGCGGAGGCCGTTGAGGGGATCGTCAGCAGCGCGGCGGAGCAATGAGGCCAGGTGGTGGGGCGGCAGGGGGTGGAGCAGGAGGAGACGGCAGCGGGAGAGGAGCGGCGTGGTGAGGTGGAAGGACGGGTTCTCGGTGGTGGCGCCGACGAAGACGACGCTGCCGTCTTCAATGATGGGAAGGAACGAGTCCTGCTGGGCCTTGTTGAATCGATGGACCTCGTCGACAAAGAGCAATGTGGTTGTTTTAGTCTTGGATTTCTCGCGGCGGGCTTCGTCGACGGCGTCCCTGACGTCCTTGACGCCAGAGGTGACGGCGGAGAGGGCGACGAAGCGGAAGGCGGAGATGGAGAGGGATCCGAGGATGGCGCGGGCAATGGAGGTCTTTCCGGAGCCGGGTGGGCCCCATAGAATAAGCGAAGGGAGGCGGCCGCGGTTGACGGCGGAGCGGAGGAGGGAAGACTTGGCGGCCAAGAGGTGGTCCTGCCCAACGACGTCGTCTAGGGTTCGAGGCCGCATACGCTCCGACAGCGGCGGAGGTGGCGGCGACGGCTTCGGTCGCTTCTTGGAGGACGTGGAGACGTCGTCGTTTTGGGGCGGTGTGGGAGTGGGAGAAGGGGAAGGGATGGGAACGTCGTCGTTTTGGAGGGGTCTGGTGAAAAAGCGGTGGAGTTTGGGCTGAGAAGAACGAGGAGATGCTTTGGGGGCGGAAGCGGGAGGAGGGGTTGATACGACGTCGATTTTGGTGTCGTTTGATGGGGGTTGGTTGAGAATCCATTCGATTGCTTTAGTTGGGGAGTTGCCGCCAGTGGCAGAAAGGGCTTGCGCCGCCAAGTTGTCGGAGAAGCCCATGTTCCGGAGTTGATCCATCTCTCTCTGCTATATCTATTTTTATTTATATTTCCTATTATTATGTCTCACTCGCTCTCAGGTCTCAACTCGTCTTCAGTCCCACCAAATTTCTCCATTTCCCCTGCCTGTGTTTTCATCTCTCTCTTTCTGTCGAATTTTTGGCAATCGTGTAACCATGTATATAAATTTTTTAATTGTTTTCTTTTTGAAAAGTAAAATGGAAAAGGAAAATGAAAACTTACCTCTACGAATTCTCCTCGTACACGTGTAATTTTTGAGTCCGTTTAATTCACTGATTCAAATTTTTAATTCAAGTTAAAATGTGATTTTATGTTAGAGTATTTTACTGTAATAAAAAAATTAAAGTCGTATTTAGAATTGATCCCGTTGTTATTTTTCACGTTTTTTGAGAAAGAAAAAATGAAAACATTTTCAAAACGGTGTTTGACGTAATAAAGACAAAAAATGAAAATGAAAACGGATTTTAGCCGTTTTTCATTTTTTGTTTTCGTTTTCTCCTCTCTCGAGCAGAGAGAGAGACTTTAATAAGTTTTTTTTATACTGAAAACAATCTCTTAATAAAACTACCAAATGCATTTTTAAAAATGATTTCTTTCTAATATTGAAAACGTTTTCATTTTCATTTTCATACAAAAAATAAAATCATTTTGAAATGAATTCCAAACACGTCCTAAATGTGACTGTTTCTGAGAGCTTTTTATTGTAGCAAAACTCGAATCGGTGAAATGAACGGGACATTTAGCTTCAATGCTTCTTCTTCTTCTTTTTTTTTTGGAAAGCCTATAGTAGGGGTAGGAGTGCTCCAAAAAATCCGTCAAACTGTAAAAACTGTCTAATCTAAATCACACCAAATCATTAATTATTTTTGAATTATTGAGTGATTTTGTTTGTTTTTTAGGCTAATTTTTCTTGGGCAGTTTGATTGTGGTTTAGACTGCTCAAACCGCCTAATAATCCACCTAAAAATATACATATAATTTTTTATTTTTAAAATATTTTTATATTTATTTTAATTTTTATTGATCATAATAAAAGTTTTACACTTTTAAAATGCACCTTAATATTTTTGTTAGTTTGTATTAAAACTTTAAATGGTGAACTTTTTGACATTTGTTATTTTTGAGTTATATTGTACACTTAAATCTTATTTTTATTTTATGGATTAACGATTTTATAAATTTTATGAATTATTGAAAACTTTTTTAATCTTAAGCTCAAATCGCCCAAACTGCTTACGAGTAATTTGATTTAGAGATGAGCATTTTACCTGTGGCTGCAGGTAACCGCGAGTATGCAGATTATGAAATGAGGATGGGGGCAGGTAGAAACTAATTTTGTAAGCCGGAACACAATCAAGGTTCCGAACATGATTGTATGAACTTGGGATTTATTTATGATAAATCAAGTATGTTTTGTTGATTTAGATAATTATTATGGGTAATTTTATTTTTCATTTACAAGAATTGATATTCGCGATATGTTCCGGTTCGAGTCACATGGAGCTTAACATTATTTTGTGATATTGATTTTTGTTCTACAGATGAATAAAATTAATAATTATGTTTTGTTCTTGTTACTTTAACAAAATTAAGAGTATACATTAAAATGATGGAGTTATATGTTTTGGGTTCAGATTTAGTTTTTAAAGGAGATAAAACAGAGCCCAAGTCTAAGAGCAAGTTTAGTAGTGCTATAGATTATGAAAAAATTACTTTTAATTGTGCTGAACGAAAAAGCAGTTGTTATAAAAAAAGACTGAGTATTTGGTAAATTGTAATTATACAAGTGTTGTTGGTTCCAAAAGCAGTGTAACAGCATTTGGTAAATTATGAGATTGAATTATTGTGGGTAGTTAAGATGACCGTAATTAATAATATTAAATTAATATATAAAGTAATTAATAATGGATAATTATTTAGCAAATAAAAATTCATATATTAATAATATACTAATAATGGATAAATTATCATTAATGAGTACATTAGTAATTAAATTATATATATAATAAATTTATATGCAAAATAATTAAAAATAGTAATTAGCAATTAATTATAAGTAATTATTATGTTAGTAATGCACTCATATTTTTTAGATTATACGTAATTAATTAATATATTAAGAAAAATAATTAGTATATACATAATTTATTAATATGGATAATTATTCTTTTTATAATAATTAATTACTAATTATCAATTATTTATTATTATTGATTAATATATTACGTATTGATAATTATTATGTCTGACTCGCTCTCAAGTCTCAACTCGTCTTCAGTCCCACCAAATTTCTCCATTTCCCCTGCATGTGTTTTCATCTTTCTCTTTTGTCGAATTTTTAGCAATCGTGTAACCATGTATATAAAATTTTTAATTGTTTTCTTTTTGAAAAGTGAAATGGAAAAGGAAACTAAAAACTTAGCCTCTACGAATTCTCCTCGTACACGCAGCTTCAAAGCTTATTTTTTAGAAAGCCTATGGTAGGGATACGGGTGTTAAAGAAATCCGTCAAACTGTAAAAACTATTAAATTCAAATCAAATCGAACTAAATCGTTAATTATTTTTAAATTATTGATTGGTTTGGTCAGTTTTTAAAGTTAATTTTTTTTTTGAACAGTTTGATTTGTAGTTTAGACTCTCTAAACCGCCTAATAATACTCCTAAAAATATACATATAATTTTTTTAAAATATTTTTATATTTATTTTAATTTTTATTGATCATAATAAAAGTTCTATAATTTTAAAATACACTTTTTTATTTTTGTTGGTTTGTATTAAAACTTTAAATGGTGAACTTTTAGACATTTGTCATTTTTGAATTATATTGTACACTTAAATCTTATTTTTATTTTATGGATTAATGATTTTATAAAATTTTATGAATTATTAAAAGAAAATTTAATCTTAAGCTCAAACCACCCAAACCGCTTTTGAGTGATTTGATTTAGAGATGAGCATTTTACCCGTAGGTATGGAGGTTATGAAATGAGGATGGGGACAGGTATGGGGTTCATATTGTCCTCTGAATCAAAAGCGCGGCAGAGGCGGGGGAAGTACCCCATCCCGATATACATATACATTGTATACTTTTAAAAATATTTTTAATACAAATATCTATTGTATATTGTTGCGTGATATTTATGCTCGCAAGTGCACGTGTCGCAGACAAGTAATAAAGAGTGAATAAGAGTGTCAATCCCACGAGGATTGAGTCACCAAAAGTATGTGTTGGAAGTTGTATATTCAACAAAACAAGTAATGAATGAATGTGGCACAAATTCACTAAAATGATGTAAATAAAATGGATGCAGACGAAGTGCAATCTAAATGGCTAACGGTAACAAGAACGTAATGATGGGCTGTAATTCAGTGGTGAAAATGAGCTAGGTCTGCTAACTTCCCCTTAATTGTAAGTCTGACTAAAATGTTACCTAGAATGCTGCAGCATTTACTGGTCCTAACAGAAACTCCGTTATTGCATAAAATTCTTCCGAATTAGTTATGACTAAGGTTCTTTAAACCATTTCTAGCATATTCCTATGTGAATCCAGCTTCCAGAATGCAGATTTAAACTCAGGTTTCTTTAAGTTATGCAAGGTGAATAATATATTCCTATACCATCCACTAATCAACAACTAAGCAAGGTTATTGAACAAGCATCACTCATGTTAGATCCGATTAAAACTAACCCTTCCAGTATTAATCTTAATCTTGTATCCTAAAATTGATGGCCAGTCAAGAATAGAAATAGGCATTAACACACATGAATGAATAAGAATAGTAATTTAATAGAATCATAGAAACAAATTGTCATCCTTACAACCTTGGTTCCATTAGCAAACCTAGCTAAAATAATTAGTTCATAACAAGCTTTACAGGATTCAAAGTTCCAGAATAATCCATGGCTAAATTAGTAACTAAATACCAAAAGAGAATTAAGCTAACAGAAAGAAGAAAGAGTTTCAGCTGGATTTGGGATTCCTCTTTGTCCGGCCTTGCTTCGTTCAACCTCCTGCTTTCTTTCCTTCACGTCCTTGTATTCAGTTTTCTGGAGATAGGTACTCTCTGTTTCCTTTTCTCTTTCTCCGCTCCCCTCCTATGTTTTTTTCTTTCTTGGTAACGTACTATCCGTTCTCTCCAGAGGTAGTGCTCTCTGTATTTTCGTCTCCTTCCCTCAGCCCCCCAGAATGTCCTTTTTCTATTTCCTGCCTCTGTCTCTGTATTCTTCTCTTTTTTTTTTCTTTCCTGGTGGCTACCCTTTTGTTTTTAGAAAGCATTTCCTCTCTAAGGCGACAATAGGGCTGAGGTGTCACTTAATGATGTGTGCAGGGGACCATAATGACACCTGCTCATCCAGCTCACATGGATTCTTTTTGTTTGCTTTCTCTAAGTAGTGCGCTGACGTCATCCACATGCCACATTTGTTCCCAGAATGCTGCACGAATGCTGCAACATTTAGTCCAAGAATTTCCTGCAACGCGCACACACAGGGCTGAGTGGACTTTCTTCCTCTTTTTAATTCAAAATCATCAAATTTTACTACAAGAAGAGTACAAGTACTGAATTCAGCCATAGCAAGTGTAAATTATAAAAAATCTAAGTTAAAACACAAAAGAAACTAGTAAAATCACTCTTGGTCAAGCAACTTTTGAGCTAGAAAACCATTAGATAACTCTAATTTCTTAGAGTTATCAGCTACCGCCCGGGTTCAACAAAGATGGAAGGTGCGATGAAGTATGCAGGTTGAAGAAATCACTATATGGCCAAAAGCAATCACCACGAGCTTGGTTTGACCAATTTACTAAGGTGATCAAAGAGCAGGGATACAAGCAGGTTGCAAGTGATCACACACTATTCTATCGACATAAGGATGGTAAGATTACAATACTCATTCTGTATGTTGATGACATTATTTTGACTGGAAATGATCTTGGAGAAGAACAAACACTCAAGAGGAAGCTGGTAGAAGAGTTCGAGATTAAAGACCTTGGTAGCTTCAGGTATTTTCTTGGAATGGAGATTGCTAGAAACAAAAGTGGGAAAATATGTACTAGATCTCTTGAAAGAAACCGGGATGTTGGGTTGCAAACTAGTAGAGACTCCTATAGAACCAAATAAAAA